AGAAGGACATCAATTCTAGTAAAGTAGAAGGTCAGAGAAAAAGAGTAAGACACTCAATGGAGATGGACTGACACAGTGGCTATAACAATGGGCTCAAACACAGCAACAATTGTGAGGATGGCACAGGATTGGGCAATGTTTCATTCTGTTGTACATAGGGTTGCTATGAGTCAGAACTGACTCAACAGCACCTAACAACAACAGAGCTGCTAAACCAACCCTGGACTACTTACCTACATGACAGAGAGAAAACCTATTTTCTTTAAGCTTCTACTATTGTAGGATATCTGTCATTCACAGCAAAACCAGATCCTAACAGGCTAGATTACCTCTCTCTTTATAAAAAAAAGCAAGGGGTGAGTCTCAATTTGAAAGAGAGTCTACATTTGCCCCACCCCCTCTTCCACCTACCAGTCATACCTCTTCTACTCTTCAGGCCAAATATCATAAATAAGGGTTATAGTAGAAAGTGCCCTAGACTGGGATTCAGGGGAGATGGGTTCTGATTCTACAGATGGACAGGAACTTCCTTGGCTGGTTTTAGAAACCCACTTTCCCTAGTCCTTTAGCAGCTTTCACATTTTCTGTGGTTCCTGTGGTAGGCAGAAATCTAAGATGACCACCAATGACCCTTGCCCTTATGTAATCTCCTCCCTCGAGTGTGCCTGAAACCCGTAAATATGATATCACTCCTGGGATTATGTTATATGACAAAAGGGATTTTGCCAGTGTAATTAAGGTCCCAAATCACTTGATTTTAAGACAAGGAGATTATTCGAGTTGGCCTGACCTAATCACACAAGCCCTTTAAATCCAGGTCTAGAGGTCAGAGATGAAGGAAGTCACATTCGAAGCACAAGAAGGATTCGCTGTACCTCTGCTGGCTTGAAAATGGAGGCAAACAATGAGGGTGGCTTCTAGGAGCTGATACAACATCATGGCTGAAAGCCGGGGGAAAACAGGGACCTTAGTCTTACAACCATAAGGAACTAAAATCTGTCACACTAAGAATGAGCTTGGAAGCAGACTTTCCCCAGAGCCTCCACACAAGAACTCAGCCCAGATGACACCTTGATTTCAGCCTTGTAATATCCTGAGCAGAGAACTAAGCCATGCCGTGCTGGACTTCTAACCTATAAAACTTTTTAAAGACCTATTATAAAGCCATTTTTAAAAATCAAGGCAGGTTTTGTAAGTACCTGAGTACGTCCCTTCTGGGATAGGAGACAAATTCATTCACAGTGATTAGAAACAATTATCACTCAATTTGTTTGACGATCAATTTGTTTCTGATAACTGTTTTACCCTTTCTTACCTTCACTGGAGACTAAATAGAAAGATTTCAAATTAGTATAGGATATGGAATGTTACATTAAAGGCAGAGGTGGAGGTAATCAAAGATACAGCTGTACCTTAACTTTAGTATAAACAATCCTTGGATGTTGTCAAAGAAGTAGCCCATGAAACATAACCATGAGCCATTACAGATAGGCATATATAAAAAGCACAGTTATGAGCAGATATTAAAAGAAAACAAAAAAAGCATAGCATTAAGGCTCACCCCCCAAACTCCTAGGCTAGTAGCCTTAGCATATATCCATAGAGCTGAACTCAAAGAACAAGGTTTTATATATGGGCACTTACTTATTTCCTAAAAATATTTAACTTGTTTGCTGTTTGTAGAGAAGTTTACAATTTGTGTGCAATTGATCCTAGAACTGTTTTACTACTCCAAAACCTAGAAAATGCACCACTCCACCCCCAAGAAGCTGAAAAATACAATTATATTTTCCCTGTTTATAATAATTGTGTTAATTTATAAATAAACATGCCTGTATGAAATATAGAACATTGTTCTACGAAAAGTAAATATGTACAGTGGTTGAGGTGGCAGCCAAGAAACATATGCTCCCTCCCCTTCCCCTTACCCCAGGGGAGATGGTCTGTCACTTCAAATAACTACTCCCCATTGAGAAAATCATGGATTCCTAGGAAGTCAATTTTCAGAAATAGTTAAATATGTCTGACTCCATAATCTTATTAAACTCCATTATATCTTATTTTCCTTTACCTATAAAGGAGTTGCTTGTATTATCTCCCCAGCCACAATCAGCATAAAAGTATAAATTACTCACTTCAGTTTGTATAACTCTAATCAGGCAAAATAAATGCTGCTGTGTTTTGGCTATGACACCAAACTGACGACAGCGCTCCAAAAAAGTGTCTAAAGAAGGGTCGATTCTTCTTTGCAGTTTACTCCAAAAGAGAGTCAGTTCCCTATAAAAAGAAAGATGACGGTAGAACATTTAAAGCAACTACTGTTTGCTTTTATCCCCCCACCCAACCCCCCATCTTTTTTTTTTGGTTTGTAAAAACAAGCTGACACTAGAGTAAATAAAAACTGAAAGAAAAAGCTGTTTATATTCATTATTGCTCCCTCCCAAACTGGTAAATTTGTTAAGAATCCTTCCTCCCTGAGATCTCCTCTATTTCTTTCTTCTTTTTGTCTGGGGAAAAACAAAAACAGCAAAAGACTACTTCCTCTACACTTTTTTTTAATCTTTATCTTAGATTCCATCTTGTTCCCGAAAGGTTTTACACTTTCTTTACATTGGTAATTATACTGACTGAATTAAAACACTACCCTAGTGGGCAGGGATCATCAGACGTCACTAAACTGTCAACAAAATATGTAAAACTAATAACTATTTTAATGGTACACTTGTCTCTATTGATCTTTTGGGCTATTTCCAGCTCTGAAACGTCAGGATTCTACTTAGGCCTCTCTATTTTGGAATGTTTAAATATTACTAATAAAAATTAGTAAAATGACACTCTTGGAAATTGCTAAAATACAGGAATTCCACAAATGCTCACTATAGAAACAAACAAAAGCTTGAAAACAGTTAAGTTAAATAAAAATACTTAATGGGTGAGAGAAAACACTCAAGAGAAGCACCAGAAACTTGAAAATGCGAAGGATGGAAAGGCTAAATTACTAATATAATGTGAATGCAAGGAAAGCTACTACCAAAACTGAAGAGAATGCTATTACTTAAAAAAAAAAAAAAGTGACTCTTTTCTGTACAGCTTCAATGGATACTGTGCATTTGTTAAAATATTTACATAAAAAAAACCATATTATTTTCACAAGCCAATTTTAGAACACCGATATCCTTTATTCTAACAAGCAGACTATTCCAGGAAGCACAAATCCAAAGCTTAAGAAATGGAAACAACTCTTTTTTAGAATCGACTGAAAATAACATATTTAAAAATCTATTTTCTTATATTTTTAAATAAGTAATTGGGCTCTCATAAGGGGATACGTAAAACTTTCTTCGAAGACTGAAATGACTATACCATGTCTCAAAAGGTATATGATTAAAGTTTATATTAAATGATGGCAAATTTGAGCTATAACAAATAAAATTAACTTAAAATGCCTTTAAATAGTTGTCTTTGGTGACTAGTGCCGCTTTCCTAGCCAGAAGAAACTGAGATGAGGCCAGGTTTTGGAATTAGCCACCAGCCAGGTAAGTAATTGGGATGTCTATTTTAAAACTCACAACACTGCTTTATTCAGATTTAAGTATCTCAGTAGTAACAACTTTTGAGAGTAGTCCAAAATTCTAAGGAATAAAGAAAATACAGAAATATCTATGATCCAGTATTAAAGAGTATGTAAAAATACAATATATGTATGTGAAGAAACTTTGAACAGAACAAAATGATCAAAGCCAATAAAACCTGACTATAAAGATAAGAGGGTAAATGCTATCAAGTACTTAAAATTCATCAACTAGTCAAAAGTTTAAAGTTAAGCAAATCTGACAAAGCGGTATAAGGCAGATTGAGAATTAAGGTCTTTCAAATAATTTTTAAAACAGTAAATAAGAATGTGTAGGGCTTGATTTATTCCAAATTAAATATTTCAGGGTTCAGTTATCTCAATTCCAAATAAGCATGATCAAAAAATGGGCATCTTATCATGTGTTTTGGGAGCCCTGGTGACACAGTGGTTAACAGCTCAGCTGCTAACCAAAAGGTTGGCAGTTTAAATCCACCAGCTGCTCCTTGGAAACCCTATGGGCAATTCTATTCTGTCCTATAGAGTTGCTATGAGTTGGAATTGACTCGATGGCAATGGGTTTTTTTATCATGTGTTTTACATTTGCAGATATTATTTGCACTGTTGTAATTCAATGATTTAAAACTACTATTGCCCACCCAAACGTATAAACATGTCTGAAACTATGATAACCAATATATTACTAGGTAGAACGTCAGTATGTCACTTTAATCATCCGTTCAAATCTGAACACTGGGACACTAAAATAACCAATGTATAGTTATTTACAACCTGCTGAATCATACATGCACTAGGACAAATCCTTCCTTGATTACAATAATGTGGTTTTTAGAAATGAATAACCATTAAATTGAAAGTGATTCCATTGTGTGGATGCTTCCAATGTTCAGATGATCACTGCACCCTCAAACTAGCCCACTGTCTAGATCAAGTCAACAAATTTTACACAAATTCAGAAAATTGGAAAGGAGACTTAGTTCTATTAATAGTAGGAAACATGTTGTCGTGGATTGAATTATGTCCTCCAAAAAATGTATGTATCAATTTGGCCGGGCCATGATTCCTGGTATTCTGTGGTCTTCCTATAAATTGTAAATCCTGCCTCTGCGATGTTAATGAGGGAGGATGGGCGGCACTCCTGTTAGTAAGGCAGGACTCAGTCTACAAGATAGGATTGTATCCTGAGGCAATGTCTTGAGATACAAAAGACAGAAGTGAGCAGTGAGACAGGGGGACCTCATACCATCAAGAAAGCACTGCCAGGAGCAGAGCGCGTCCTTTGGACCAGGGTCCCTGTGCCGAGAAACTCCTAGTCCGGGGGAACACTGATGAGAAGGCCAAGAGAGAGAAAGCCTTCCCCTGGAGCTGACTCCCTGAATTTGGACTTTTAGCCTACTTTACTGTAAGGAAATAAACTTCTCTTCATTAAAACCATCCACTTGTGGTATTTCTGTTATAGCAGTACTAGATGACTAAGACACATGTCTTGTCAGGGATGTAGCAACCAAGCAAGAACTTGAAACTACTCTGTTTCCACGTAGCAGGAGACCCGTGAGGTCCAGTTAATTTAATGTCACACTGAGATACAGAATTTAGGCATCTTAGAAATGGGGCGAATAAAATTTTGTGGAATTAAGGAATGACCACCCCCTAAAGAGGGCTACTACAAATAAAGAAGCTGATTCCCCTGACCTCTTTTTTTTCCTACACGATTCAACTAAACAAAATGAATATGGGTATCTATCTAGTCTCCACTAGGTGCTGGTGATACAACAGTGAATAAGCCAAGATACATGACCCTGGTATATGAGTCTAGTGGGAGAGAACAGACACGTAAATACATCTGAAGAACCACAAATGTACAACATACACATTTAAGCTCAGAAAAGCTATAGAAAGCAAAGGCCAGCCTATCAAATACTCACTGAGCTTAGCGTGTAGTTCAAAGTTTAACTGTATGATTTTATTTTAAAGTAGCAGTAGCAATTACACATCTGTATGTATATCATCCCATTCAAAATGGTTACCTTACTCGCTTAATCACTTACATGGTTATTCTAATTATGTTACTATTCTAGACAACTATAGGGAACTCATTTCTCCAGCACATCTTTGATTTTTGCAGACAGCCAAAAATACTTCGGGTCCCATGTGAATGAGTAAAGTAAGCAATAAACCCTTTGAGATCAATAAAATGGTGATTCCTAAAAAGTAACAGGAAATTTTATTGTGGTTTATAAATATCTCTGAAGGAAACTTCCAAAACAATGAAAAATTGATTTGAGTGATAGTTACATAGTCTACATTTTAAATATTATCTTCCGTGGTGACCACTTGCAAGAATGACACTTAAATAAATTCTAGCATATGTGTTTAAAAAAAGTGTGACTACTTTTATTGTCATACTTTAACTAGGATTTTTAAAAAAATAATTTTTAATTAAATGAGGATTTAAAAAAAAACCCAAAACCTCTTATCTGAAATACCATGTAATAAGATTTTTCTTCCTAAACAATAAGGATCAGGTATCGCATATGGTTACTGTCTTAAACAAAAGAAACCTCCAGCGCAGCAAAAGAATCCCACTATCTCTAACTCCCAAATAATATTACTATTACCAAAAAACAAAAAGGCCTTTGAAAACAATGGAAGGGTAAGATGTTTCCCAAATACTAACATTTTAGATTTTATTTCTCTTTGAATTGCTTGGAAGAAGTTCTACTTTTAACAAAGCATGAAGTGACTAAGATCTTTTTTCCTTTACTCTTTATCACTTCTTAAGAGGCCAACAAGGGGGAAATCCCAGTTAATCCCTTCCTGCTGCAGGGGAACAGCATTAATCCTAGATCCACTAACATCCTTGGAAGAGCTAACGGTAGCTGAGTAAAGAGGGGAAGAAAAAAAAAAATTATGGGGCACTGTAAAAGGGAAGTTGTATCAGAAATATTAAAAGGACTGTGTAAATACATGTATTTTTAAAAAAACTTTATAATCCATGACACATTCCATGTAGGACTTAATTTATTCTTTGCATTGAAAGCCTAGCTGTTACTAGCATATTTTTTCATTTATAGGCAATGTTCAACTTTTTTTTATCAGCTACTACACAAATTAAAAGCATATGACAAAGTTAATGGGCAAAGAAAGTAATTTAAATGTAAAAAGAAAAATTGGGGTTTGTTTCTCAAACAAACACATCTGTTTTACTGAGGCTAAAATCTTTTAATTTCTAGATTTTTATGCATGAAAAGATATATATTCTGCTTGATTTAGCGATCAAAAACCTCACTTGCTACTTAACAATTCTTTTTATTTATATTACCTCTTTTTTGGTTCCCTAATAAAATGCCCACAATGATTATTCAAAAAACATATTTAAGTCCCTATCCCAGTATCTCTCTTCTCATAGGAGATATAACTCTGGCATCATGAACTAGGTGGTAGAAGACTGCAATTTGAATTTTGGCCCTGTGCCAAGAAAACAAGAGCACAGAAGAAAAGCACTGGAATAGGAGTCAAAATCCCTGGGCTGAAATCTTAGCTCTACTACCTTAGCCTTGAAACTTTGGGCAAATCGCAAGATTTCTCTGATCTCTCTGATCCTCCATGTGCCTCAGATGCACAATGAATATTATGAGGATTGGGTAAAATAATTTACAGTACACAAATAAAATTTCTTATATAAAATAGTAAGCAAAAAGATATAAAGTAACATATAAAATGGTAATAACAATAAAACTACATAAACACACAGACACTCCAAAAGGAAGAGCACACAAAAGGCTGTACTAGGTTTTCCTAAAAAACAAAATGCTTGTTCCCAACTTTATGCCATCCTTTGGATCTGAAATATCCGAGGGTCTCTAATCAAGATTATGCAAATCCAAGCCATTCTTTGAATTAAAGCCCAAATAAATACCACCTCCTCCTGCACACCCTGGTGGAGCAATGGTTAAGCGCTTGGCTGCTAACCAATAAGTCTACTCAACTAGAACCCACCAGCCGCTCTGCTGGAGAAAAGACCTGGCGAGAGTAACCTTGTCTGATGTGACCATTAACCCTTCTGGAAACGCAGCAGGCAGTTCTCTGAGGTTTCTCATTAGAATGTGAGAAGAGCCACACAGAGATTGCAGACTATATAAAGGCTGTTTGATTGACTTTGAGAGTCACTGCTCTCCATGTCAGTGTGGCAGAAAAATGAGATTTCAAGAATTCTTTTTTGTATTTTTCACTTTTATGGTAAGTCTTCTCCTTATCAAAGGACAGAGACCAGTTAATTTTGCCATGAGGAGGAAGCTGCACAGACACAACTGCCTTCAGAGGAGATGGATGCCTCTCCATTCTCAAGTGCTGTTCCCCTGAGATGTCTGTAGGTAACTTCAGTCTGCCAGCAGAAGAGGACTGTAGGAGAGGTACCAACCTATCCACCCAAGACAACTTCATTATGGCAGTAGTGTGATTGTTTAGAAGTTCCTGTCCTAAAAACAACTGTTTGAAAGCACCTGATATAGTTTATTAGTTTCATAGGATTTTCTTCTTCCTGGCTTCTCTTTAGAGGGAAAAGTAACATAAACTCAAGTGATTCCAGTCTGAAACAATTCTTTGCCTGTATAGCAAAAATTTCTCATCTTCGTTTTCTGTATATCACTCTTCTTTTTTTTTAATTGTACTTTAGATGAAGGTTTACAGAGCAAATCAGTTTCTCATTAAACAACTAATACACATAGGTTGTTTTGTGACATTGGTTGCCAACACCGCGATGTGTGAAAACTCTTCCCTTCTCGACCTTGGGTTCCCTCATTACCAGCTTTCCTGTCCCCTCCTGCCTTCTCATCCATGCCCCTGGGCCGGCATGTCCATTTAGTCTCATTTTGTTTTATGGGCCTGTCTACTCTTTGGCTGAAGAGAGAAAACTACTTTTTAATGTTTTAGAAACCTCTAATAGTAAAAATGCAAGAACTTAAAACTTTTCTTTCATAGTTCTATAATTCTCCATAAGTATTAAGATAACTTTGTCTGTGGGGGAAAGAAAAAGACAACGCCTGGCGATCAGCTTCTTTAAAGATTACAGCCTAGGAAGCCCTATGGGGCAGTTCTACCGTCACATAGGGTCGCTATGAGTTGGAATCAGCTTGACAGCAGACAACAACGACAACCTGGACACCTTTTTTAAAGACTCTGGAGTATGGTGATCACCTCTCTCTAATCTTTTACAGCATCATCCATACCACTAATCTGTACTTATTGACAGTTTTGTTTTTAGGTTTCCTGTGTGTCAGATTTGTCCCTGTGGCCTAACAAGATCTAATATAGTTAAAAAAGGAAAAGAAGGATGGGTTACACTTACTATTTTCTCTTTAGTAATAAAGTACTTTGTAGGCAAACAAGATATAAACTGAATTAAAACCAAAACAATGCAATTCAGATATATGGTATCAAAGTTGCAAAAGAGAGAACTATTCTAATAGATTTCCTTTCTAGTGCATGTTTGACCTATGAACCTACATAATTTGCCCCTTTTATTAGTGGGTTTCCAAATAAAAGGAGAAAAGTAACCACTAGGAGATACTAATGACTGTAAAGGAGAACAATCTAACACCAATTTGTTTCATATTGCCATATTTTATCTTCAAGGAAAAAGACATAGACAGTCCTGTGGGATGATCAAGAGGAATTCAATCAGTGATGTTTTTAATTAAATGGTTTAGCCTGTCAGCAAGACTTTATTCACATATCATCATTTAATTTGCTTGACTTTAAATTTGAAACAAAATAATGTTTTACATAAACCCTAACTGCTATACTATATACTAACAAATAAAGGGAATAAAAACTAAATATACTTACCAAGAACAATACACACTTGCAGTTTGGAGCTGCTGGGTAAAGTAAGTCGTACAAAGAACAAATGCTGTGTTATCCTGACCCTCAGATTCCAGATTACATATGATGTCTAGTATTTCCTTGCAGTCGACCTTTGCAATCTATCAAAAATGAGATGACTAAGTCAAAAGGAAAATGGTGACTTTCCTGTAAACTTTGTTATATAATGTGAAACTTCTTTATAACGTTTTCTATCTTTGGTAACTGATGAGGAGAGTATTAGAGGGACATAATTTTCTTCTACTGACTAACAGCTGACTTAAGTCATAAATATTTCATATAAGAAAATGATAAACAGAGAAGGAACAGACGCTATAAGGAAGTTCCACTGCAGTATCAATACCGATAAAAACAACATTTTTGTACAGCTTTTTAAAAAATTACAAACATTTGCTACCATATAAATAAGTCAAATTATGTTTAATAGCTTCCAGTTATTTTCACCTGAAGTACCATCATCTTTTATTTCTTATTTTCCTTCTTCCTTTTTAAAATAATTGTATTCAGGTCACTCTACTTACAGACAGCAAAATGCATGGCTTACCCTATGCCAGAGGAGGCTGGAGGTGGGTTCAGAAACTATTTTAAATATGAATTGCTGTATTAACATAACTTATTTAATATAATCGAGGGGGGGGAACTTTTGTTCAAGCAGTCAAAACGTTTTTAGAAACACATCTATTTCATTTACACCATTTATTGAAATCTTTAAAGCAAACGAAAACCTCTAGGCAAATCAGTTCAATTTTCTGGAGCTCTTTTTCTGTACTGCTAAAACAGGAAATAAGACCTCTAAAGATCCTTTCACATTCTGTATTTTATCACTTCCTTGCCTTAGTAAACAATATGAAGAACATAATCCATTTCATGTCATTTTACAAATAGCAATTATACCAGGCTTCCAATGTACAAAACAGTGATAATCTCAGGGCAAATGAGGTATGTGGACTTCAGCTCAACTCCTCCAGAATGCTATGCAGTTCTATTAGGTGGTTCGACAGTCTCTAATTTTAGTCACATCCTCAGGTATGTTATCATCTCTTAAGGCGAACGATTTGGTTCTTCGCTGTCACTTCTCATAGCTGTGCCCTCTTCACCTACAGTTCAAGACCTGTAATTCAGCTCTCTCTGAATATAAACTAAAACAAAATTGAAGATTACTAAGAGAAAAGTAGGATTACAAAGTGCTAGGTACAAACATGTTTTTATATTCAAGGGAAGAAAAAGCTTTTCTGACAGCTAGTTTTATTGGGGCCTCCAGGTGGCACAAACGGCTTGCACTTGGCGGTTCGAACCCACCCAGCAGTACCACGGAAGAAAAGGCCTGGTAATCTGCTTCCACTAAGATTACAGCCAAGAAAACTCTTTATGGAGCAGTTCTACCCTAGTTCTACATATGCGGTTGCAATGAGTCAGAATCAACTCGACAGCAACTAATAACAGCTTCACTGAACACAGAGGAAACTCTGACCTCTTCGAGTGGTTCAAAGATATCTAGCTGGTTTCGGTTACGCAGGCTGTAATATAATACCATGCATTACAGACAGCACTGCTTCCAATTTATTTGAATAACATGGTCTTTGGCAGTAATTCTTAAAGTGTGATCTTTGGACCACTAGCAGCAGTATCTTCTGGAAACATGTTGGAAATGCAAATTCTCAGGCCTCACCCCAGACCCTCTGAATCAGAAATGTTGGGGTGAGGCCAGAAATCTCTTAGACAAGCTTCCAGGTGATCCTGATATTAAAGTTTGAGAACTGATGGTATGACCCAAAGAGACTGGGTGTGGTATCAACAGTTAATGGTTTTGAGGCTCACTTACTGCATGGTTCTCAGAGAAAAATAATAGTTCCTAAGATCCACTACTTGATTGTTCTATATATAAAATAAGTTACGTTTTATATACAAGGTGCTTAAAGTGGTTAAATGAACTTCAAGGACCAATCAATGAGTCAGTTGGCTTGGTTAGGATTGAAACCCAATTCTCTCTTTTCTTTTTTTTAATTCCTATCAGGCCTTTAAAATATATGGTTGTACAATTTTTCAAATTACATTCAGAATGAAGTCTTCTGTATAAACAATTTTTCAAGCAATTAAAACGACACTTTATATACCATATCTTCTTAATTTCCACCAATTATCTGGAATTTATTACAACAGTTAAGTAGAAAAGAACGCTTGGCAGAATCTTCACCTAGTTAATTTCTACTTGTCTTTCAAAGCTCCAATAAAATGCCATTTCCTAATGGAAACCCTCCCTAACTTTTAAGACCATGTTAGCATTCCTGTCAAACACACTTAAACTCCTTTGCAGCATTTATCACAACTGCAATTCAGTGATTATCAAGCAACTCATTAGCACCTGTCTTCTCTGCCAAGGAGCCCTGGTGGTGCAGTGGTTAAGTGCTCAGCTGCTAACTAGAATTTGGCCGTTCAAACCCACCAGCTGCTCCACGAGAGAAAGATGCGGCAGTCTGCTCCTGTAAAGACTGCAGTCTTGGAAACCCTGTGGGGCAGTTTTACTCTGTCCTATAGGGTCACTATGAGTCGGAGTCGACTCAACGGCAATGGCTTTGGTTTGGTTTTCTTCTCTGCCAGAATATAAAATTCATAGGGGCAAGGGGTATGTACATCTTGTTTAAAACCCAGCACCTATCACAGTGTCTGAAACAGAAGACATTTAGTAGATAGGTGCTGAATGAATGGAATAAGTGAATCAAGTTCAATCATGTTAAGAAGTTCATGTTTATAAAGTGAACCTTATATAACTCTGTGTTTTCTAGCCTTTTCAAAAAAAATGTGATAACATTAAAGCAGTATGATATAGTGGTTAAGAGCATGTATCCTAGAGTGAGATCGTAGATTCTATTCCCAACAATGTAAGTATTCTAGCTACTAGCTGTAAGTATAGCTATCCAATAGCTATTGGATAAGTTAGTTAACTTCTCTGTGCCTCAGTTTCCTCATCTATAAAATGAGACTAGAACCTCCCTAATAAAGTTGTTGTAAGGATTAATATATATTTTAAAAGGACTTGGCACATAGGGAGCACTTTATAAGTGCTGTTAAAAATATTTTTCATGAAATATGTAAATTTTTAAAAGAGGGAAGCAAAAGAAAGTGAACCTTAAGAATACTAGAAAGTATTTCAAAAGATAACATCATTCTCAGAAAATGCCTTGACACACATTTATATTTAACAAGTACCAGGAGGCAAAGTTAAGGTGTTAAAGACTAAAATATAATTAAACCTAAAATTCCATTTTCAGAAACAAAATCTTATCATACACAATGAAGATGAAATTTGACTGATGCACTAAGCAGCCATGCCCTCCCTCATGGCTGGATGAATCAGAAGGGTTATCCAGAGAGGCAATGCCCATCATATGGCCACTCAAAATTGCACTGATTGAAGGGTCAAAACGAGAATTTCCATACCAGGCGAAAACAGCTGTTTGAGAGCAAAAGCTGCCTACCATCCAAGCCATGTTAAAGTGCCTGCTGAAAACCAAGAATTCTAAAATTTGATGTTAGCAGCAATATAACATCTCCAAGCTGAGAAATATCACAAGAAACTCTAAAGCAGATATATAAGTTAGAGTGAAAATAATATACAACTTGCATTTCTGTAACTTTTTTTTTGGTCCTTTTCAAATAACTTTTACAGTATCATTTCATTTTGTCAACATGGCAAACCTGCAAGATAGGCAAGGCAGGCAATATTATTTCTACTTCACAAATAAAAAATGAGCTTTAGAAGAGACTGCTTCTTGTCTCAAGTCAACTGCTAGCAAATAATTAGTAGTAGTAAATAAAACGAAAAACAAATTGCACGTCATTTTATTTCTACAGGGAAGCCCTTATGTTTTAA